TATCGAGGCCTCTGTTGGTATATGGAATTGAGATATGGAGGTGGTTTTGGAAATGCGTCGTATATTTGTACGAATAGTACTAAATGGTACTTAATTTGGTACTGAGTTAAGGGATAGGTCTGGAATCCTCAAATTTGATATTGAAGCCTCTGTTGGTATCTGGAATTGAGGTGTGGAGGTGGTTTCAGAAATGTACTATAATTGTTCGAAAAGTGGTACTAAATTTGGTACTGGGTGAAAAGATAGGTCCGGAATCCTCAAATTTGATATTGAGGTGTCTGTTGATAGCTGGAATTGAGATTTGGAGGTGGTTTCGGAAATGTGTCCTATACGTGTACGAATAGTACTAAATGGTACAAAATGTGGGTACTAAATTTGATATTTGGTAAATGGCTGAAATCCTCTAATTTGATATCGCGGTCTCTGTTGAAATATGGAATTGAGATGTGGAGGAGATTTTGGAAATGCGTCCTTTATTTGTACGAAAAGTACTAAATGGTACTAAAAAGAGTATTGAGTGAAGAGATGGAGATAAAATTCTGAAATTTGATATTTGGAATACTGATGGTATCTGTGTTTGAGATTTGCCGGTGGTTTGAGAATGTGTCCTATATTTGAACGAAAATTACTAAACGGTACTAAAATTGATATTAGGTGAAGGGATAGGGTTGCAATCCTCAAATCCTCTGTTGATATCTAGAATTTAAAAATGAAGGTGCTTTTGGAAATGTGCACTATAATTGTTCGAAAAGTACTAAGTGGTACAGAATTGAGGATTGGGTGAAGGGATAGAGCAGAAAATTCTGAAATTTGATATGAAGGTCACTATTGGTTTCTAAGGTTGCAATGTATTTTTTCGAATTTTTTTACATGGAAATCCCGTTCTTAATTCGTTTCTTTTGCAGATTTTTTCTAAATGGGAAAAAATCATTAATGGAAATATTTTGTTCGGACTTTTTTTATTTATTATAAGAGAAAAGAGTTTCTTCCGAAAATTTGCAACACTCTTCGTTACACCCCATGGTTGTGAACTTGAACACAAAACGCATCCGTAATTTAATTTGAATATGTTAATGTTGTTTTTTTTTCTCCCATTTCATACTTTGTTTTTTTTTTTTTTTTTTTTTTTTTTTTGGAAAAGCATTCTCAAGGTCCTTTCAAAATGTGAAACGTTGCCTTTCTTTATTGCATTTGAAGAGATTTCGAATACGTGAAGAGCTCTCCTACACACGCACACACAAAATAGTAAATCAGGAAGGACAAACAGCCATCAAGTCGCACAAACACACACATTGCTATGTCGTTTTGCATAGTGTAAATATATTTGTGTGTGTGCGTGAGTGTGCAAGGTGCTTGCTCAATCGTCAATGGTAATTTGCCTTATTCAATTTTTCCTCCTCCCCCCTCCTTCGCCGCGTCATTATCATTTCACCTTCATTTGCAACACATTTTTCCTACGATTGTATTCCTCCATTATATCTACGAATGTCTAAAGGAGGAAAAATCAACAGCCTAACGACAAGAAAACATCAAGAATCTAGGCTTCCAAGATGAGGGAAGAAGGAAGAGTGGGGGTGGGAGTGGTCCACCAAACTATGATGCAAATCCTCCTTTCATAAGCAAATGGCCCCCAAGATGATTAACTGTATGTTCAAGGTGAAGGTTAAGGCGGAAAAAACGTATACAGGCCGACTTAAAACACACACACAAACACATACACCCGCGTATACAGATTCTCGCCTTAAACGACCGCTACAAATATCAAAAACAAACAAACAAAAACAACACAATGCCAAACGAAAAGTCTTTCTCATTGCCAGTTAGGATTCAATATCAAGGCCAATAATAATGCTCTCCGTCTCATTGGTAAGTAGGTCTCTGAGCAGGAGAGCAAGACAGAGAGCTGATATAAAAATAGTAATGTTTGCAATCTCTCAAAAGCACACGCACTTATGAAGAGAGGGAAACAGTTTGAAAGAGAGAGAAAGAGGGAAAAACAAAACTTTCATGAATTTTGTGAATGACATCCTGTTTTTTTTTTTTTTGCTGCTGTTGTTGTTGGTTGTGATTTCCGTAGTAAAACCGCACATTGTTGCATACAGGTGTTTTTTGTTGTGTTTCACAAAGTGCAATCTATTTAAAGCCGTGCGTTTGTGTGTGTTTGTTGGGGGCCAAGGCAGTTTTTGGCGGCTAAATTTACAACACTAACCTACAAAAATGTGCTAAAAAGCCTTGAAAAATTAAGGAGAAATATTTTCTAATAATTTTTGAGAGAATATGTTTTTCTTAATGAAAATGTGGCGAAAGAAATAAATTTCTTTGAAAAATAAGTATTAAATATTAATAAATATTAAACTTTAATTTTTTATAATGAAATATTAAAAATAATTATTGGAGGGGACAAATTATTTCCGTATAGAAAATATTTCTGAAAAAATATTTTCGTAACGAAAATGTTTCGGGGAAAAAAGTTTCGTCTCGGAGTTAAGAAAATTAGAACAAAATTATATTCGTAACAAAATATTTCGTAGAATTTTTTTTTTCGTTTAGAAAATAATTCGGAGAAACGATGTGAGTGTAGAAAATATTTCGGAGATATTATTTTTGTATTTTCGTAATATTAATCTCGTGCTTGAATAATAAATTATATCGAATAAATCGAGAAAAAACCACGAAAATTGAAAAAAATTCTCTGGAAAAAGTTGATACCTTTGTTGATCTTGGAGTCGTATGGGATTGTAAACTTATGCAATTTTCGTACAAATATGGAATGCATTTCCAAATCACACCCAAATCTTAAACACAGAGGCCACCAACAATCTCGATATCAAAGTTCAGAATTTTACTTCTATCACCTCAACCAATACCAAATTTAGTACCATTTTGTACTTTTCGTACAAATATAGGACGCTCTCCCAATACACCGCCAAATCTCAAACACAGATAACTTAAGTAATCGAAATATTAAATTTCAGGACTTCATCGCTATTCCTTCACTTAATGCCAAATGTAGTACTATTTAGTAATTTTTGTACAATGTTAGTACACATTTTCACAACCACCTCCGAATTTCAACTCCAGATACCAACAGTGGACCCAATATCAAATTTCGGAATTCTACCTCTACCCTTCACCTAATTCCAAATTTAGTACCATTTAGTCCAATCGTACAAATAAGGACGCATTTCCAAACAACGCCAAATCTCAAACACAGAGCCCATTGGTAATCAAAATATATCAGTTTTTTAGTATTTAACTTCTATCCCAACCCGTCACCCAATACCAAATGTAGTACTATTTAGTACTTTTCGAACAAATATAGTACACATTTTTAACACCACCTCCATGTGTCCAGGCTTCACATGAACAGCGACCCTAATACAACATTTCAAACTGCGAGCACAATGTGTTCACCCAATATCAAATTGTACCTAATTTAATACCATTTAGTACTTTTCGATCATTGATGGTACACATTTCCAAGACCACCTCCATATCTCAATTCTAGATACCAACAAAGGCCTCAACATCAAATTTCAAGAATTTAGCTCTATTCCTCCACCAATACCCAATTTAGTACTTTCCGTACAAATATAGGACACATTCCCAAACCAACGTCAAATCTCAAACACGGATACCATCAATAATCTAAATATTGAATATCAGACTGTTACCTCTATCCCTTCTCCCAATATTAAATTTAGTACTATTTAGTACTTTTCGTACAATTAAAGTCCACATTTCCAAAACTACTTCCATATCTCAATTGCGGATACCAACAGAGACCTCGTTACCAAATTTGATAATTCCAGCCTTATATCCTCACCCAATATTAAATTTTGTACCATTTAGTACTATTCGTACAAATATAGGACGCTTTTCCAAACCACCGCAAAATTTTAAGCACAGATCAGTACCAATACCATCAGTAATATAAATATCAAATTTCCGAAATTTCTCTCCCTTCCATCACCCAATACCAAATTTAGTACTATTTAGTACTTTTCGTACAATTAAAATACACATTTCCGAAACCATCTCCAAGGTGCTGGCTAAACATGAACATCGACCGCAATGCCAAAATTTCACATTACAAGCAATATCTGCTCACCCAAAACCGAATTGTACCAAATAAAGTACAATTTAGTACTTTTCGTGTACACATTTCCAAGAACCATTTCTTTGTCACACCAACCTATAACCAACAATTCAAGTGATTCTGAATTCCAAATTTCCACATTTAACCACTCTCCCTTCACATAATTCCAAGTGATACCAAATTTAGTACAATTTGGTACTTTTGGTACACGTTTAGTTAGATTTATGAAAAAATTCTTTGGTTTGCCTATCCTACACAATATATCGGACATTCACTCTAAATTTCAGATTTCCATCTCTATTCCTTTCTCAAAAAAATCAAATTTAGTACCATTTAGTACTTTTTAGTACGTATTTCCAAAACCACCTCCAAATCTCCGGTCTACACACCAACAGTGAGCCTAATACCAAATTTAAGATTTCAAGCACTATCTGTTCACCCAATACCAAATTGTACCAAATATAGTACCATTTAGTACTTTTCGTGCAATTGTAGTGTACATTTCCAAAACCACCTTTATATCACAAACCCACCACCAAGAGAGACCCCAATACAAAATTTCAATATCCCACCTCCATCCGTTCACCCTAAACGAAACTCTTCCAAATTTAGTACCATTTAGTACAGTTCCCACACTTAGTACACATTTGCAATTTCACCTTCAGATATCAAACTTACTTTCCAACCTTGACCCCTCCCATATCAAATTTCAAGTTTTTAGCTCTTTCCGTTCACATAATACCAAATGGTACCATTTTTGAAATTTAGTACCATTTTAGAACTATTTGTAACTTTAAAGAAAAAAATATTCTCAAAAAATATTCGAATTAAAAATTATTTTCAAAAACGAAAAATCTCAATTTTCTTTACCTCTTTACCCCTTTTTTTCTCCCCGCAACAGATCAATATGGCTGTGTCGACACATAAAACAACAATAACAACAACAACAACAACATCAAATGGAAACACAACAACAACACTGAATAACATTATCAATTGCAGCGGCTGCCATTTGCCATTCAACTTCAATAATTCCGTGCCAAAATCATTGCCATGCAAACATTGGTTCTGCCTGTCCTGCCTCGAGGACATGATCGGCAAGTCGAGTGATTTTGCCCACTTCGATTGTGCCAACTGCCAGCAGACCATCGACATCGATGGCCTAAATAAGACTTTGGAAATTCTGCCAAACAGTAGTGCTGCCGCCAATCTCAATCCAAATAACGGCCACAATAACAGCCATTTAGCCGATATCGATACCCAAATATCCACACGTTCGGCCTCGATAGCCTCCGATAATTCCATAGGTTGTGGTTTATTTTATAGCAACAACAACAGCAACAGTATTAGTAGTAATTCGAATCATAGCTCCCTGAATCCCAACAATGGCCACTTGAGTCTGTTGCAAGGCCACCAGCATAGAGGGGCGGGAGGTGGCAGCGGATCAGATAATGGCTGCTCCTCCCTTGGCCAGAATTTGGCCCACATGTTGCCGGGCGAGAATTGCATGCTCCATGGCATGCCGAATATTTTGTGGTGCGCCAGCTGCAATCTCAGCCTGTGTCGTGGTTGTAACTCCGGACCCGAGCACCAGGACCACATGATACAAAATCTCCAAGAGGCCAAGGAATCATATCAGCATCGCCTGCAACAGGATATTGGCAAATTACAAGGATCTCTCGGTGACATGGAACATCTACAGCGCATCCAAAGAGAGTTCCTTTTAGGTCTGCTGGAATCCTGCTGCACCCTCAAAACCCACCTGGAACAGGAGCTGCAAAATCAATCCCATGGCCAGGCCATGGATGGCATGCGGGAAACTGTTAAAATGCTACAACTTCACATGGATCTGATGCCTGAGTGTAGTCCCCAGGACTATCAGAAACTCAGCCAAGCCGTGGCGGAGGAGAAACAGAGATTCTATCTGAAACACAAGGAAATGTTGCGCCAGTATCAGATCAGCGAATTGATTGCCAGCAATGAAAGGCTCTTGGATTTTTCCAGCATGCAGCAGATTTTCCAGAAACAGGATTTGCGGTCTTCGCCGGCAACCGGGGCGGGGGATGGCATTCAAATGCCCAGCAATCCCATGCTGCACCTGACCAACTACTGTGTATTCCATCTGTACCTGCGCTACTCCAAGCAGAAGCAGCAGTTTTTCGAAAACCAGCTCTGGCGTTATCAGCAGTACCAGCAGCAGATTATTGCCAACTTCAAGACCCACCAACAAAATCAAAAGTCAGCCACTCCCCTGGGAGGCACGGCCAGTTCAAATTCCACTTCCACATCTAATTCCAGCTCATCGGCCTCGTCCGGAATTGGCAGCTATCATCAAAATGGTTCCCCCACAAACTACCAGGGAACAGGTGGTGGAGGAGGAGGAGGGGGAGGAATTTCATCCTATGACCAGCTACAAATCAAACGTAAGACCTATGCCGAAATAGCCAGCTCCCAGAAATCCTTCGACAGCCACCACACCCAGGACTCGTTCGACTTGTTCACCGGACCCCTTACCGTCTCCCAGTACAAACAACTCGAAGAGGTGGGGAAGTGCATCGATCTACTGCTGCTCAATCCGATCAGCAATGACAACAACCACATTTACTATTTCGATTTCGAGCGGGGCGGTGAGTTCTTGGGTCGTGTCCTAATCAAGGTATATGCCAGCTATGCCCCCAAAATGGCCTACAACTTCCATGCCCTGTGCTCGCACGAAAAGGGTGTGGGCTATCGTGGTTGCAAGGTCTTCAAATGCTATCCCAATCAGAGCATCATCACGGGCGACATAGATCAGAACAATGGCTATGGCAGTCGTTCCATTTACGATGAGGCTCAATTCGTTCCGGACGATACGAAAATCCCTCCATTTATTGGAGCGGTGGGTATGCGTCGAGCAAAGAAAATCTATGACTCTCAGTGTCTGGTGGGCTCTCAGTTTCGTATTATCCTTAAGGTGAGGCCGTTTAGTGCCATATTTGGTCGGGTCATTGAAGGCTTGGAGGTGGTTTGGAATATATCGCAGGCTCAGGTACAAAATAGCGATAAACAAAATGCTCTGGGTTCGGCCGCAGCTGGCATGGGCCACATCAGTGTGGCCCAGTGTGGGGTGTATGAATTTGCCAAGAGGAATTTACAGGGTGGCATCTAAGGGGGGAGGTGACATGATTTTCTAGGAGAAAATATATTCCTAGGCAAAAATATTTCCAAAGCTAAAATATTTTCGAAACTAAAAAATTTCTAGGCGAAAATAATTTTCTAGGCAAATATATTTTCAAGGCGAAAATATATTTTCAAGGCGAAAATATTTTTTCAAGGCGAAAATATTTTTTCTAGGCGAAAATATTTTCAAGGCGAAAATATTTTTCTGAGCGAAAATATTTTTCTAAGCGAAAATACTTTTCTAGGCGAAAATATATTTTCGAGGCGAAAAAAATTTTGAGGCGAAAAAAATTTCACGGCAAAAATAATTTTCTTGGCAAAAATATCTTTACGGAGAAAATATTTTTTAAGTGAAAATATTTTTCTAGGCGAAAATATTTTTATAGACGAAAATATTTTCTAGGCGAAAATATATTATTCAGACGAAAATATTTTTTCAAAGCAAAATAATTTTCTAGGCGAAAATATTTTCACGGCGAAAATATATTTTCAAAGCGAAATAATTTTCAAGGCGTAAATGGCGGAAAGTTTTTGGGAAAAATATTTCTCTAGGCGAAAATATTTTCTAGGCGAAAACATTTTTCTGGGCGAAAATATATTCTAGGCGAAAATATTTTCACGACGAAAATATTTTCAAAGCGAAATAATATTCTAGGCGAAAATATTTTCAAGGCGAAAATATTTTCAAGGCGAAAATATTTTTTAGACGAAAATATTTTTCTAGGCGAAAATATTTTCTAAGCGAAAATATTTTTCTGAGCGAAAATATATTCTCAAGGCGAAAATATTTTCAATATGAAACAATTTTGAAGGCGAAAATTATTTGGAAAAAATATTTTTTAGGCGATTTTTTTAAAAGGCGAATATATGTTCTCTAGGCGAAAATATTTTTCTAGGCGAAAATATATTTTCTAGGCGAAAATATATTTTCTAGGCGAAAATATTTTTCTAGGCGAAAATATTTTTCTAGGCGAAAATATATTTTCTATGCGAAAATATTTTTCTATGCGAAAATATTTTTCCGGGCGAAAATAATTTTTTTGGCGAAAATATTTTCTAGGCGAAAATATTTTCCAGGCGAAAATATTTTCTATGTGACGGTTTACACAGATCTTGAGCCAGGATACCTATAGCATTTCGTAAGATAACTTAGAATCTATGGTCCAAATGTAGTCAGATTAACACAAACACACACAGACTCACCGATACACTGAACAAAGCAAAAACAAAAAAAGAAACATACGAAGAACTTAATTCCAGAATAGTTGCTAAACCTTAAGTTTTATTGAAAACTAAACTAAATAAATAAACGAATCAATAACTAGTTACATATGTCTGTCTCTATCTCTCTAACACGAAACTGTCCTCTCTTTTACAAAAAAATATATAAATAAAATATAAATATTTTAATTGAAAAAAAAAATAAAATATAGAAATAATGGCGGCTAATATCAATATTATTAAAATACATACAAATATAAATAGTCAATATATACGAATTTCGATGTAAAATGAAAAATAAAAAAGAAAACAAAAACTAGACAAAAAGCAGTCTAGGAAAATAATAAAAATTTAGGGAATAATTTATAAAATTAGTTCAAAAATATTTTGAAATAAAAAAGTCAAAAAATACATAAGAAAGCTGAATTTGTTTTGTCGGTTCCAAAAATGTGACAAACTATGAAATATCAGTCAAATAAAAAATAAATTAATTAAATTACAAAAAAAAAATTAAATTGAGAAAACATTTCTGTGTGTCAAACGAAAATCAAGTGGGATAGTGGGGAGAGAGAGAGAGAATTCGATAGATTTTTGCCATCTATGAAAGAAATCCAACTTGAGTGTGTGTGTCTCTCACTCTCGAAAATCGAGAAAATGAAGAGGAGAGTGGACACTCTTTTTGTAATGAAAGTAATTAAACCTGAGTGGGTGTTTTTCTCTCTCTCTCCCTTTCTCAGCCATTTTTCGTTGGCCATACGGAAACCCTGTTCCAAAATAAATAACAAAAAAATCTTGTGAAAATTTGACGCTACAAAGATACCTGTTGTTGTATAAGCCTGAGGAAAATTTTGGAGAAAGAAAAAAATAAATCTCAGGCTTAAAAAAAATAATTCAAAAAAACATATTTTGTGTATTACAATTATTGAAAAAATAATAAAAATAAATTAATCTACATTTAAATATACGTTATAAACGTTGTTAGCATTTTAAGACTCTCTCTTCAATGTCTTCTTTATAGCAGTAAGCTCAAAACAAAAAAATGGCAAAGAAACTATGCGATTTGAAAATATATTTATGCCCTCAGACATATGGCTACAGAGAGTATATGTCATTTGATACGGCCAAACTCATCGGTTGCGGTTTCAGATTTTAGGTCTCTTTGGACCAAATCCGTTTCAGGACATTTGAAGTCGATTTTGGGGGTGTCTGATTGGTACACACAATATCACTCGAAGGGAGTATCTGATATGGTGGAAACTTTGTACATCATAATACCTTTATCAAACTTAGATTGGGTTCGGAAATGGGCAATATTAGTAAAGTCGTTCTGATACCTCCCCCACAAAATGTCAACATTTTAATAGAAATAAATGTGTAGAACAAGAAAGGATCATTCAATCATGTGCAAACTTTGCAAATCCTAATATTTTTAGAAGTGCTAAGTCAGATGCAACAATGATCAATATCGGCCCAATCTTTCTGGTACCTCCCTCACAAAGGAGTTAAAATGTTGAATAACTAAAATAGTCATAAAATGTGAAATAAGCATCCGATTCATTCTAAACTTCGCATATCCCAATATTTCTAGTAACACAAGATTTAGTGTCAAGATGGTAGATATCGACCCACTCCTACAGGTACCTCCCCCACAAAAGAGTACAAATTTAGAATACTCAAAATGCCGATAATATACGAAATGAGCATCCGATTCATTGATAACTTCGCACATCCCAAAATATCGATGAACGCAAGATCTTGTGTGAAGATGGTGCATATCGGTCTACTCCTTCTGGTACCTCCCCCACAAAGGGGTTACAATTTCGAATAACCAAAACGCTCATAAAATGCGAAATAAACATCCGATTCTCTTCAAATTCAACACATCTCAATATTTTCAACTACACAAGATCTGGTGTAAAGATGGAATATATCGGTCCACTCCTTCTGGTACCTCCCTCACAAAGAGGTTAAAATTTTGAATAATCAAAGCACTCGTAAAATACAAACTAAGCATCCGATTCATTCCAAACTTCGCACATCGCAACATCTCTAAGAATATAATATGCGGTGTGAATATTGTACATATAGCTCCACGCCTTCGGGTACCTCCCCCACAAAGGGGTTAAAATTTTGAATAACTAAAACGCTCGTAGAATGCGAAATAAGCATCCGATTCAATCTAAACTTCATACATCCTAATATTTTTGCTAACACAAGATCTTTTGCGAATATGGTAGACATAGGTCCACTACTTCTGGTACCTCCCCCACAAAGGGGTTAAAATTATGAATAACTAAAACGCCCATAAAATGTGAAATAAGCATCCGACTCTCTTCAAATTTCACACATTCCAATGTTTCTACTAACACAAGATCTCGTCGGAAGATGGAATATATCAGTCTTCTCCTTCTGGTACCTCCCTCACAATGGGTCACACTTTTTAATAATAAAACCCCTCCATATAATGCGAAATTGGCATCCGATTCTCTTCAAATTTCCCAAATCCCAATATATCTACAAATATAAGATCTATTGTGAAGATGTGATATATCGCTCCACTTCTTCTGGTACCTCCCCCACAAGGGGGCTAAAATTTTGTATAACTAATATCCAAAATGAAAAAGTATTTAAAAAACGGACCTTGGCTGAGGGTATACATCTGTCGGCAAAACCGACTGATACTTTTTAACTTGTTTGTAGTATGTTTAAGAAAACAAAAGAAAAACTAAATATATTTTTGAAACGATCTTGAAATTTGTTGAACTTAAAATCTAACGTTTGGAAATGTCAAAAAAATTTAAAACAAAAAAATAAAAATGAGAATAATTAAAAATAGGAAAATATTTCTCTGTAATATTTGCTATATTTTTGTATAGAAAATATTTTCATTTTTATTGTCTATATACATATAAATTTTCCATACAAAAATATTTTTTCCATTCAAAAATATTTTTCCATACAAAAATATATTTTCTCTTTAAAAATATTTGCATTTTATTTATTTATTTATATTTTTGTATTTTCTCCAAAATATTATTTTTTTTTCTTTCCCCGCCAAGCTCATGTTGTTTCTCTCTATAAAAAATTATTTTTTCATAAGAAAATGATTAGCAATTTAAATAAAATACTAAAAAAAAGTAAAATTAAAATGGAAAATTTGAATCGAAATTCGAAAAGTATTGTATCATTGAAAAATAATGTTTTCAAATTTAAAAAAAAAATATGTGAGGAAAATATAAATAAAAAACAAAATAACTGCCCTATTTAGACAACTAATTTTACTCGAAAAAAATTGATGAAAAACCAAAACAAAATATCAATATCAAATAATCAATGGTCAATGTAATTTTTGTGGCTTGTACTAAAAATATGTATTTATCTTCGAAAATTGTAAAAAATCGTCTCTCCAATAAAAAATAAATAAATAAAAAATCAATAAAATACTACCACGGAAGTTTTGTGACACAGAACAAAAAAAAAAAAAAAAAAACCAAAGTTGTATCAAACAAACTGCCAACATAAATTGAAAATTAAAAAAAAAAACAAAAACAATACAATATCGCCAATACAAAAGTAAACATCGTTTGAACTTAAAATAAACATTTCAAAACATTTTCAAAAGATATAGCATAAAAAACTATTTATGGAAATGAAAAAAAAATATTTCTCAGCGTACCTTTCAAAAAAAAAAATAAATAAATAATAATAATAATAATAATAATAATAATAATAATAATAATAATAATAATATAATAATAATAATAATAATAATAATAATAATAATAATAATAATAATAATAATAATAATAATAATAATAATAATAATAATAATAATAATAATAATAATAATAATAATAATAATAATAATAATAATAATATAATAATAATAATAATAATAATAATAATAAT